ACCCCAAGTTTTGCTCCCCCCAACCCCAGTCCCCATAGCCCTCGCCATAGAGCACCTACCTTCCCAAAGCTCCCTCACCCCATTCCCACCCCCAAAGCCCACCTACCCAAATCCCACCCCCCGGATCCTCCCCAAGCCCCCTCCCCTCACCTGGTCGATCCATGGCCCCAGGTTTGGGGAGCACTCGTACAGACACGTGTCCTGGATGAAATGCCTCTTGCAGCGCTGCGCCATGGCCCCGCAGTGATCCCAGTTAAAGCCGTACAGGTAGGACTGGTCCCGATGCGCCTCCACGCTGGTGTTCTCCGTGCAGCAAGCGTTGTCCTTCCATAGGACGCACTGAAGGGGATTTTGGGGGGGGGGGTGGCACCCAAGGGTGCTGATGGACGGGGTGTGGGGACAGCATAGGGCGGTGGCATCATGGGGTGACGGCACCCGAAGGTGGCACAGAAGGGATATGAGGATGCTATGGGGTGGTGGAACCCAAGGATGGCATGGAGGGGACATGGGGACACTATGAGGTGGTGGCACCATGGGGTGATGGCACCCAAGGGTGGTACGGGAGGGATATGAGGATGCTATGGGGTGGTGGAACCCAAGGATGGCAAGGAGGGGGTGAAGGGGCACCAGGGGTTGATGGTACCCAGAGGTGGTGGCACCCAGGAGTGGCTTGGAGGGGGTGTGGGGACATCGTAGGGTGATGGCATCATGGGGTGATGGCACCCAAGGGTAGCATGGAGGGGACATGGGGATATTATGAGTTGATGGCTGCCAGGGGTGGTACAGAGGGGGTGCAGGGACATCATGGGGTGCTGGCAACCAAGGGTGGTATGGAGAGGGTGTGAGGACATCATGGGGTGGTGGCACCCAGGGGTGGCATAGAAGGAATCTGGGGACAGCATAGGGCGGTGGCATCATGGGGTGACGGCACTCCAGGGTGGCATGGAGGGGACACGGGGACACCATGGGGTTGGTGACATCATGGGATGATGGCACCCAAAGGTGACCTGGTGGGGATGTGGGGACACTGTGGGTTGGTGGGACCCAAGGGTGGCATGGAGTGGGTGTGAGGAAATCATAGGGTGATGGCATCATGGGATGATGGCACCCAGAGTGGCATGGAGGGGACGTGGGGACACCATGGGGTGGTGGCATGGAAGGGATGAGGGGACACTGTGAATTGGTGGCAGCCAGGGTTGGCATGGAGAGAGCGCGGGGACATCATGGGGTGGTGGCATTGTGGGGTGATGGCACCCAAAGGTGACACGATGGGGGTGTGGGGGCACTATGGGTTGGTGGCACCCAAGGGTGGCATGGAAGGGGGTGCAGGGACACCACGGGGTGGTGGTACGCAGGGGTGGTGGCACCCCCAGGGGTGGAATGGAGGGGGTGTGGGGACATCAAAGGGTGATAGCATCATGGGGTGATGGCACCTAAGGGTGGCATGGAGGGGACATGGGGACACCATGGGGTGGTGGCATGGAAGGGATGAGGGGACACTATGAGTTGGTGGCACCCAAGGGTGGCATGGAGGGAATATGGGGACTCTATGAGGTGGTGGCACCCAAGGGTGGCATGGAAGGGGGTGCAGGGACACCATGGGGTGGTGGGAACCAGAGATGGTGGCACCCCCAGGGGGTGGCAGGGAGGGGATGAGGGGACACCATGGGGTGGTGGCACCCAGGGGTGTCCCCACGGGGCTGCAGCTCACCTGCCCGTAGAGCAGCCCTTCGGGACCCGGCTCGGATTTGTGATGCTGGGCATCCATGCAGATGTTGAGCAGCGATTCCTGCGCCGAAGCCAGAGCCAGCAGCACCAGCACGGCCCAAAGGGACGCCATGGGGAGACGGGGTGGCACCGAGGGCGGGTGGTGACACCAAGGATTGGGTTGGCACCAACGTCCCCGTTGCCACGTGCTCAGAACTGCTGGGGACAAAGTTCCCCCTGGGTGACGGTGGCTGGTGGCGATGGGTGACTGGGGACAAATGGGGGGTCAGCGGGGACAAGTAGGGGGCGTGGGGGATAAATGGGGATGGGGACATCGGAGACAACGGGACAAATAGGGACAAATGGGGACAAGTGGGGACAGGGACAGTAGTGCTCACCAGTGGCTCTCAGTGGCTTTCTCCTGGTGGCTCTCTGTGGTGCCTCTGTGCAACCCTTGCCCGTGGGTCACAGATCGGTGCTGGCACGTGGGGCACGACGTGTCCTCCCCCCCCCCACCCCTTACCGTGTCCTCCCCCCCCGTAACCCATCACCCCAACCCCCCCCACCCCCAAATAACCCAATCCTCAAAGGGGTGGGGGGACCAAATACACCGTGGGGGGGCAAAGACCCAGCGATGGGAGCCCAGGTGGGTGGGTGGGCAGATATCCCTAGGGATGAGGTACCTCTGGGGGTCCCAAATGCTCCTGGAGGGACAATTGCCCCCCAGTAGGGACACAGATGGCCGGGGGGGGGCTGGGGGGGGGGGGGGGAACATCCCGGAGGTCTGGGGTGCCCGTGGCTCTCGGCGCACTCAGCTGTCAATCAACGCCTGCTCACACCCTCTCCTCGTCCACTCCCCAATCACAGCACCGTGTCGAGCAAATGGGCGTGGTCTCAAAAAGCCCCGCCCCCTCCATCCTTGTGCTCCGCCTCACTGTTTCCGCGTTCTGCGCATGTGCAGTTCCGGGCAGCAACACCCCCCCCCCCCCCCCCCCTTGGCAGTAGTATTTCCGGGGTCAGATTGTACTTCCGGGTTGGCCGCTTCGCGCGGTGCCTGCTGGGTGCCATGTCTACCCTATTCCCTTCGCTGCTGCCTCGCCTGACCGAACCGCTGTGGTTCAACCTGGACCGGCCGTGCGTGGACGAGACCGAACTGCAGCAGCAGGAGCAGCAGCACCAGGCTTGGGTGCGGCCGGGGGAAGGGGGACCGGGAGTCGGTGTGAGGCCCGGTTTGGGCCCAGCAGGCCTCAGCCCCTCCGCTCAGCAAACTCCGTCAGCACGGGCAATTCTGTGCTGCGAGGGCGGCGCGGGGCTGGCGCTGCTGCTCTGGAGGTGCCCGGCTGGGGCAGGCTGAGCCGGTGGCGTTGCCCAGCCCATGGCGGGAGGTGGGTCTGGGTTTCAGGGTTCCTCCCAAATCCACCCGCGCTGCGATTCTGCGATCTCGGGTTGTTCCTTCCGACCTCCCCGGGCCGCGCCGCGCTGCGCTGCTCCGTGGATGTGCTGTGAGCTGAGGCCCACGGGAATCGTGACAGCCAGCGTGCGTTTGATTACAGTGAACGGGGGATGGAATCGTCTGATTGAAATTGAAAGGAACCAGGCAATTAAAAACTCTCAGGCAGCTGGGAGAAGCTCAGAGCCCCCCTCCCCTGGGGGCAGAGCTGTGTTAATTGAGAGCTGTGCTAATTGAGCTGTGCCACCTCCCCCGAGCAAAGAGTTCCTTATAAACGATGTCGGCTCACGGCTTGGAGGCACTCCTGGCCACCCCCCTTCCTCATCTCCTTGTCCCCGTGGGGATGTGTCCTCTGTGCCCTGTCCCCAAGGGGCTGCAGCCCTATGTGACAGTGCCAGGCTGTCCCAGCCCCCCCTGTCACGCTCCTCCCTGTCCCCATTGACCCCCCCTTCACCTTTCTCCCCAGCTCCAGAGCATCGCCGAGAAGGACAACAACCTGGTGCCCATTGGGAAGCCGGCCTCGGAGGTGGGTGACCACACTGTGGGACATCTGTCACCCAACCTGGCGCTGTCCCCAGCGAAGGAGTGGGAGAAGGAAGGGTGTTTTGGGGCAGCGCCTGGCTGTGTGGGGCTGGGGGCTCTGGGGCTGCATCCCCTGGCCCTAATGGGGACAGAGGTGGCAGGAAGATTTGCAGGTTGGCTCTGGATGTGGGGACACAGAGTGCCTCTGTGACACCCACAGCACTACGATGAGGAGGAGGAAGAGGACGATGAGGACGATGAAGACAGCGAAGAGGATTCAGAGGACGATGAAGACATGCAGGATATGGATGAGATGAACGATTACAACGAGTCTCCTGATGATGGGGAGATCAATGAGGTCAGGGGAGTGTTGGGGTGGGCTGGCCTACACCCCTGCCTCACATCTAATCCCAGAACCACAGTTTGGGGAGGGGGGGAAGGGACCCCAAAACCCACCCAGCCCCTTTGTAGACACCACACCATCACAGCTGAGCCAAGTGGGGTTCCTGTGGGGCAGAAATCTCCAACGTTTTCCTTTCCAGGTGGATATGGAAGGGGCAGAGCAGGACCAGGACCAGTGGATGATCTGATCCCGGCAGAACCGGAGCCAGATTTAGCATGAGATGGGGATTGAGCCCCCAGCCCTCTGCTCTGGGCTGTCCTGGAGCTGAGGGGGGGTTGCTCTGGTGGCCACCACACCTCACGGTGGGCACGGCACGAAGCTGTCCAGCAGGAACCAGGAACGCTGGGCAGTGCCAGTGGGCGCATGGCACACCTGGGAGCGGTGCGGGGACACAAGAGGAACAGAGCATCTTTTCTAATAAACACCTGTTTTTTTTAGGAAATCAGCCTCCAAATCTGAATGGCTTCGGGTGGCACGGGGTCGTGGTTGTGCCTCACAAGGCTTTGAGCTCTGCTCTTCCCACCGAGCTCTGACTGCAACCCACACAGAATGGCCAGGGTTGGAAGGGACCTCAAGGATCACGAAGCTCCTGCTGCAGGCAGGGCCGCCAACCTCCCCATTTCACAGCAGCCCAGGCTGCCCAGGGCCCCATCCAACCTGGCCTTGAACACCTCCAGGGATGGACGGGGCATCACAGCCTCTCTGGGCAGCTGTTCCAGCACCTCACCACTCTCTCTCTAAATCCCCCCCCCCCCAACGCCACAAAGCACAGCACTTTTCTTTTGGGGTCAACGTTTATGGCTGAGCGTCAGCACAGCAAACGGGAGGCTGTGATTTCCAGCAGGCAGCTCCAGCTCAGCGGGCCCCGGTGTAGCAGAGCTCAGCAACGCCATCGGGGATGGCACGGCAGTACTCCAGGCTGGCCCGGTGCACCCTGCAGCGATACTTCCCGCACGTCTTGGCGTACTGCAGGAAGTGTGGGGCTCCTGGAAAGACCACGTTATCAGCCAGCACCGTTGCCCTATCGGCCAGCAACCCGTGCTCCTCCAACAGCTGCAGATCCCTCAGGTAGCAACGCTTCCGATGATCCATGAAGACGAAATCGACGCACTGCAGGCCGTGCTGCTCCCTCAGCCTCGGGATCACCTCCTCGGAGCGGCCCACGATCAGCTCTACCTGCGTAGAAGCACCCTCAGCTCCCCTGCCCTGCCTTGGCACCCCGCCGCCGGCCGGCCGCTCACCGTCTGCTCGTCGAAGCCTGCCAGGCGGATCACCTTCTCGGCCACGGAGGCGTGGTGGGGGTTTGGTTCCACCGTGTAGAGCCGGGCGCCCGGCGGCAGCGCCGCGGCCATCAGCACGGTGCCGTAACCGCAGTAGGTGCCCAACTCCAGCACGGTGCGCGGTGCCCGCTCACACAGCAGCTTCTCCACGATCTTCCCTGCCAAGGTGGAGCTTCCTCAATGCTCTGTTGGGCTGGGGGGGATCCCTACAGCCCTTGTGCCACCCTGCTGTGGCTGTGCCGTCGGTCTTGTGGCTGTGCCAACGGGGCCTTTGGCTTGCTGTGTGCAGGCCAAGGGTGCCATGGCTCTGCCAGAGATGCTGCAGCCATACGCATGTGGAACCATGGCTCTGACAAAAGTGTCCTCGCCATAGCAATGGTGCCACAGCTGTGCCAAAAATGCCTTGGCCGTAGCAAGGGTGCCATGGCTGTGCCAAAAGTGCCTTGACCACGCCAGTGGTGCCACAGCTTTGCCAAAAGTGCCCTGGCCATACCAGGAGTGCCGTGGCTTTGGCAGCGGTGTTGCTGCAGGGCAAGGAATGCCCTGGCTGTGCCATCAGTGTTGTGGCTGTGCCATCATCTTGCTGGGAGTGCCACGTGCATGCCGAGGGTGCCATGGCTGTGCCACAGATGCTGCAGCCGTACCAACATTGCTGTGGCTCTGCCAAAAGCGTCCTGGCCATACCAAGGGTGCCATGGCTGTGCCAAAAGCACCCCAGCTGCGCCAATGGTGCTGTGGCTGTACCAAAAGTGCCCTGGCCATGCCAGTGGTGCCACAGGTCTGCCAAAAGTGCCTTGGCCATAGCCAGGGTTCCATGGCTGTGCCAGAGATGCTGCAGCCGTACCAACATTGCTGTGGCTCTGCCAAAAGTGCCCTGGCCATGCCAAGAGTGCCATGGCTGTGCTAGTGTTGGCCCAGCTGTACCCATGGCGCTGAGGCTGTTCCATGGCCGTGCCACTGATGAAGTAGCCCTGCTACCGATGCCATCACCAGGCTGGTAGTGCCGTAGCCACGCCAACGTTGCCACAGCCACACCACCAGCCCTGCCGGGAGCCCCACACGACCACGCTCACCTTTGAGGGGTCCCACGCAGCCGAGGTGCTCGCAGTGGTAGCTCCACTGATCGAAGGTGTGCAGGATGTGCCGGGGGTCCCCGGGGATGGCGTGGGTCAGCACGTACTGGAAGGCACGCTGCTCACGGGGCACCCCGGTGAGGCGGTCCTGCAGCCAAGGCAGCAGCACGGCGCGGTACAGCAGCACCAGGTAGTGCCGGTAACGGATCAGCAGGGTGATGAGGAAGGGGAGGAAGGCCAGAGCGATGGCTGGAGACACCATGGCCAGCCCTGCTGGCTCCTGCGCAGAACAACCCTGACACCAAATCCTGCGCCGCGCACCCTGCCCCCCCCCCCCCCCAACACTCGGAGTCGTAGGAGGTTCTCGGGCTGCTGATGTGGTCCCCACCTCTGGTTGTGTCCAGTGTGTCCCCAGGTCCCCAGCCGGGCTCTGCTCTGTGCTCAATTATTGATGGTGACACCTCAGGCACAGCCTGAGCCGGCTCCGGTTACTGGGCTGAGTGGGGATGTGTTACGGGGTGGGGGTGGGGCGGGGAGTTGGATGGGATGGGGATGGAGTAGAGATAAGGATGGGGATGGGATGGGGATGGAGTAGAAATAAGGATGGAGATGGGATGGGGATGGGATGGGGATGGAGTAGAGATAAAGATGGGGATGGGATTGGGATGGGGTAGAGATAAGGATGGGGATGGGATGGAGTAGAGATAAGGATGGAGATGGGATGGGATGGGGATGGGGTAGAGATAAGGACGGGGATGGGGATGGAGTAGAGATAAGCATGGGGTGGGATGGGGATGGAGTAGAGATAAGGATTGGGATGGGGTACGGAAGGAGTAGAGATGAGGTGGAGATGGGGTAGAGATAAGGATGAGGATGGGATGGGGATGGAGTAGAGATGAGGTAGGGATGAGGATGGGGATTCATGACCCTCGAGGTGCCTTCCAACCCTGGCCATTCTGTGATTCTGTGGACGGGGGAGGGATTCGGATGGGATGGGATGGGAATGGAGTAGAAATGGGGTAGAGATAAGGGTGGGAATGGGGTGGGATGGGGATGGAGCAGGAATTCGGATGGGATGGAGTAGAGGTGGGGTAGAGATGGGGGTGGGATAGAGATAAGGATAGAGTAGAGATAAGGACTGGGATGGAATAGAGATGGTGTAGAAATGGGAATGGGGTAGAGATAAGAATGATAAGAATGGGGATGGGAATGGAATAGAGATGGGGTGGAATAGAGATGGGGCAGGGATTTGGATGGGATGGAGATGGAGTAGGGATGGGGATGGAGTAGAGATAAGGATAGGGATGGGATGGAGATGGGGTAAAGATTTGGATGGGATGGGGTAGAGCTGGGGATGGAGTAGAGAGAAGGCTTGGGATGGAATAAAGATGGTGTAGAAATGGAGATGGGGTAGAGGTAAGGATGGAGATGGAATAGAGATGGGGTAGAGATAAGGTGGAATAGGGATGGAGCAGGGATTTGGGTGGGGTGGAGATGGAGTAGAGGCAGGGTAGAGATGGATGGGATGGGGTACGGATGGGGACGGAGAAGAGATTTGGATGAGATGGTGTAAAGATGGGGATGGGGTAGAGATAACGACTGGGGTGGGATGGGATGCAGGTGGAGGTGAGGCAGACATAAGAGTGGGGATGGGATGGGCGTGGAATAGAGATGGAACAGGAGGGGATTCTGGTACGAAGCGCTGGCAGCTCAACGAACAACGCGTTCCACGTGCTTTTATTCCCTCCTGGACCCGCTCAGCCTCTTTCTGGCTGTGCCAACCCCTCCCTCCACGCGTGCATCCCTTCCCACGCAGTCATCCTGCCTTCCCCACGGTTTTCTCTAGAACCAGCCAGCCCCGCGTCCCTTCCCAACGCGGGTCGCGGTCCCTAAGAGGCGCTCCGTGAACCCATAGCCGGGGACGGCACTCAGCACCTGGATAGGGAGCGCTGGGCGCTCGCACGCATGCGCTCTGTTCGCGCAAGCCAACCGGAAGGCGGAGCCGCGAGCTGCTCGCTGATTGGTTCTCCCTCACGTGACGGCTCGGCGGAGAGGAAGAGGAGGAGGGCGGTGTTCTGTTCCTATTGGCTCGCCTCCGTCACGTGACGAGGGGAGGAGACCGGAAGAGGAAGTGGCGGTGAGAGGGGTGTGGTCGTCGCTCCTCCTTCACGTGACAGGGGCGGTGCGGCCCCTGCCGGACCCCGTAGCGGCGGCGGCGCGTCATGGGCTGCTGCTACAGCTCCGAGGCTGAGGCCTCTGACCAGGTGGGGTTTGTGAGGCCCTCTGGGGGGGGCCTGCGTGGGGGCTTATGTGGGTCAGTTGAGGCCCTATGGGGCCTGTGGGGGGCACCTGTGGGGGATTATGGGATCTGTATAGGGCTATGGGGTGCCTGTGTGGGACTGTGGGGTCTGTGGGGGTCTGTTGGGGCCTGTGGGGGGGGTCTGTGTGGTGGTGTAGGGGGGCTTGTGTGGG